CTCATATTCGTGGTCGACCGCATCTGGCTTTCAATCGATTTTTCCTTTTGTTGTATAGACTGAGGTCGACCTATGATGAAATTGAGGTCGACCTGTGAAGTTTTGCTACGATATTATTTACATCTATAGCTTCAAAAGAGGGATTTTGTCCTTCTGTTTGCCAGATGAGGTCGACCTTTTCATAACCATGGTCGACCGCATCTGGCTTTCAAGCGATTTTATTTCTGTTTTATTTGTGCGAAACTAACACAGGTCGACCTCTTCTAATTATGAGGTCGACCGGATCTGTTTTGCACTCAATTGGTACGAGGATTTGGGCCAGTTTAGACTCGTTTCAATTTAGCCGAGGTCGACCTATGATGATTCTCAGGTCGACCTATGAAGGCAAAAGTTCTAGTTGTGCCACTGTCTTTGAATTATTTGTGCGAAACTAACACAGGTCGACCTCTTCTAATTATGAGGTCGACCGGATCTGTTTTGCACTCAATTGTTACGAGGATTTGGGCCAGTTTAGACTCGTTTCAATTTAGCCGAGGTCGACCTATGATGATTCTGAGGTCGACCTATGAAGGCAAAAGTTCTAGTTGTGCCATTGTCTTTGAATTATTTGTGCGAAACTAACACTGTCGACCGCTTCTATTTATGAGGTCGACCGAATCTGTTTTGCACTCAATTGCTACGAGCATTTGGGCCATTTCAGACTCGTTTTAATTTAGCCGAGGTCGACCTATGATGCTTCTGAGGTCGACCTATGAAGGCAAAAGTTCGATTTATTTGTGCTAAACTTATTGATGTCGACCTGTGATGATATTGAGGTCGACCTCGGGCCATTTAAATCGATTGAAATCCAATTGTGACTTTCAAAAGCCGTGCAGTGCAGGAGATTAGGCCATCTTGCAATGCACTCGAAGACATAAACGTTTGTGTCTTCGAGTGCATTACAAGGTGGTCTAATGTCCTGAACTGCACGGCTTTTGAAAGCACAATTGGCTTTCAATCGATTTAAATTTTCCGAGGTCGATTTATGTTTTTCCTGAGGTCGACCGGATCTGTTTTGCACTCAAATGGTACGAGGATTTGGGCCATTTTAGACTCGTTTCAATTTAGCCGAGGTCGACCTATGATGATTCTGAGGTCGACCTATGAAGGCAAAAGTTTGAGTTGTGCAATTGTCTTTGAATTATTTGTGCGAAGCTAACACTGGTCGACCTCTTCTAATTATGAGGTCGACCGGATCTGTTTTGCACTCAATTGGTACGAGGATTTGGGCCATTTTAGACTCGTTTCAATTTAGCCGAGGTCGACCTATGATGTTTCTGAGGTCGACCTATGAAGGCAAAAGTTCGAGTTGTGCAATTGTCTTTGAATTATTTGTGCGAAACTAACACTGGTCGACCTCTTCTAATTATGAGGTCGACCGGATCTGTTTTGCACTCAATTGGTACGAGGATTTGGGCCATTTTATACTCGTTTCAATTTAGCCGAGGTCGACCTATGATGCTTCTGAGGTCGACCGATGAAGGCAAAAGTTCGTTTATGTCGACCCATTCCCATTTTAAATTAACTGAGGTCGACCTATGATTCGTCTGAGGTCGACCCATTCTCGTTTTAAATTAACTGAGGTCGACCGCTTTATGGAGTGGTCGACCGCGTATTGTTCAATTCGAAAATGTGACTAACGTGTATTCTTGCTTGTTTAATGGCAGGATGTTTGGCAAAAATAAGAAAAGAAAGTCACAAAAAGCTGCTGCCTCAAGTTCGGAATGGGAAGAGTTCAATCCCAAACTGTTCCAGACCAAGGATCAAAGTGACAACTATGAAGAGAAGAGAATGCACAACCGCAGGGTGGCTCCTGGAAGGCCATTGACGACAGATGCGTATTCTCATTTCGAGAATTACGGGTTTCTGGGACCCTTCATCGAGCAAGAGTGGCTGAAGGTGATATCTCTCAATGTACCATACTACCCAAAACTGGTACAATACTTCTACAACAACATCGTCTACGAGCGCAATGCAAATGGATCCATTCACGCATTCAAATCCTATGTGAATGGGGTGGCGATGCGCATCAGCAAGAATGTGTTGGCGCAAGTACTTGAGGCTCCAAACGAGGGGAAGAGAATCAATTCTTACGGTGCTTGGAATGAAACGCATTTCACGAGAGCCAAGCAAATCCAGACGGTATGTGGTCTTGATGAAGAGGAAGATGCTCAGGGGCGCAATAGGCCAACGAGTAACCACCTGACAGTTCAAGCCAGAGTTCTTCACCACATGCTTTCGTACAACATTCTGCCAAAGGGTGGACATCGGGAGACAGTCACCTACTTCGACATGGAGCTCCTCACCAACCTACTGTTAAGCGAGAAGGTGAACTTGCCATACTTGATCTTTAACCACATGCTTACTGCTGCAGAGAGTTCAAACGGGAATCTTCCCTATGGGATGATCCTCACTGTGCTATTTGAGCATTTTAATGTGAATTTAAGTGAAGAGGTGGGGTTAAGAATCTCAAGGCAGGAGTTCTATACTGTTTCATCTCTGAAAAAGATGGGCTTTGAGCTGCGTAATGGTGAGTATGTCAGAGTAAACAATGCTCATGGTGGTGGTGATGATGATGATGATGATGAGGGTGATGAAGGAGCTCGAGACGAGCCAATGGCTGAGGCACAGAGTTCAACTCCACCGATCACCTTACAGCGTGTGTGGGAGCGCATGGATGGCATGTACGAGTACATGGGCCAGATGTCCACCCAGATGACTGGCATGCACGACTACATGGGGCAAATGACCGCCCAGATGAGCACAATGCAGGTGACCGTGAATGAGATGCGAGATGAGTGGCGATCTTTCAGCGGAAGATACATGCATCCCACCACATCCGACCACCATCATGCTAGCACCACCAATGAAGAAAATGTGGATGAGAGAGAGGGGGGAGATGAGTAGGAGAAATGAGTTTTTATATTGTGTGTTTTAGTGGTCAAAACGATTGTTGAGTGTTATTCTGTTGTTTTTTTAGTTTTATTTTTATGTGTGAACAATTATGATTTCTGTTTTATTTTTAGTTGTTATGCTATGAATTTATGAGTCCTTGTTATAATTATTTATGACTAATTATGATGGTTTGAAACATAATTTATACGAATAAAAGAACCACACAAATCGACATACATAAGCAAAAAAGACACGGGGCATAGGGTGACTTTCTTGTATTCGGTCGACCTCGTACCGGATTAGGTCGACCGCAAAACCAACACTTGATCTTGATTTTACGTCAAATAATTGGACACTTTGATAGAACACTTATCTTCTATCTGGTCGACCTCTTTCCTCATCCGGTCGACCATTTTGTTAATGACTGCCATCAAGTGGTGGACCTATATACCTTAGGTGGTCGACCATGTTGTTTCTGACGCCAACGAAATGGCCGACCCAGGTTTTATTCTGATCGACCAAAAATAACAACTTAAACTAAGTGCGGTCGACCAGGTGGTCGTTGAGGTCGACCGCAATGCTTTCTTGTGCTGTCCAAATTAGTCGATTCGGTCGACCGAAAAGTGCATGTCACCGTGACATGCATGTCATAGTAGGCATACCCTAAAAATTAATCTTCCATTTGAAATGAACCGATGATATTCCATTCCGGTTGACCGATAAGTTATATATAATTTATCAGTCAAGTACAATAAAATTATTTTTAGTATAGGTTTGATCGACCAATTAATCCAATAAAATGTGAGCCATCCACAATTTGTACTATGATTCGGTTTTGACAATTTTAATGATAACACACAACCTCTCTATTCTTCCTTAGGTTGAGGGAAAAAAAACACTCAAACTATCTCTTCGTTTTTCTTTCGTAGTCCCCTTCTCTTCCTAAGAGTTTCTCTCTTTTAGAAACCTTGATTTTAGTCAAATTTAAGTTGAAGACATTAGAGCATATTAGCTACTAATTAAAGTCTGAGGCTAACATATAAGCTAGACTTGTGATGAACTCCCACTAACATTAGTTACAGTTTGGTGGAAGCTTCCCCGTAAACTAGATTAGTCAAGTTGACTAAACTATCAATCAGGTTGATCACATTGTTAGTTAATTAGGTCGAGCACAAGGGTAGTTAGCTCAACCACATTGTCAATAAGATTGATTAGATTGACTATTTCCACTTCAATAAAATTATAGATGATTAGTTATGTAGAGCTTTAAACAATTTTCTCTACATTTAGCTTGGTAGATACATTAGAGACTCTGGAAGTGGGAAGGATGAACATAATAACGATAACAATGAAGAAGCATAAATATAAAATTAAGTATGCTGACTTTGAGTTCCTAAAACTTAGTAACATACAACAAGGTTATTATTTGATAGCTTGCATCAAGAATTTATAAAAATAAAAAAAATAAAAAATTTGAAATTCTAAAACATATAACCTTAATCCATAGTTCGTAGACCACTATAACTTATAATGAACCCTATATCGCAAATAGTGAAACCCTAATCCCTACATCCTTGAACACTCAAAAACATGAAACTCCATAATTCTGAATCATAAACCCTAAACCCTACTACCAAAAACATTGAACACTAACTCTTGAACCCCCAAAATACTAAGACCCTGAATCTAGACTAAATCCTAACTTGTAAACCTTTAACTGTACCCTAATACCCAAAACCCTAAACTCTAACCCTTGAACCCTTTACTCTTGAAAGCTAACGCTTAGCCTTAAAATTGAAGCTCAACTCTTTCTAAATGATCAGCATGCCCGAAAATGCTACAATACATATAAAATATGACTTACCATACATAATTCACTCAATTGCTTTTTAACTTTTGATAAGTTGATTTTGCAACCAAGGCTTATGTATATCTCAGAACTAGTGTTTAATCAAATTAATTTTATGAGTTTATCCATCCCGTATAAAAGAGTTAGGTCTAAAGTTGCCCATGAACAAAATTAACCTCAATAACTAAAACTCGACCCATGATTTTACATTCATACTACTTCGCTCCCATCGTTATTATGATCATCATCCTTACACTACAAATCTAACCTATCACCGATATTCACCACTTGTTATCTATAGAAATTGTCAATAATCTTTTCCAACTTCCCCATTAATCTTAATTGATATTGTGGTCATTGGTCAACCTAAACAAAAATTTAGATGACCTAATTGCCAATATAGTTGTTTCACAAATCCCCGTGGTCGTCGATAGAAAGATCTCCACCAAACTTCCAACAAAACTACTTCACAATCACAAGTACGTTCAATATTAGCAAAACTCATTTCATAAAAAATAAAAAAAGCACGGGAGTGAATAGAATAGGTAGCGGAAGGTTGAGTGAGCCCGAGTGTGAAAGGGATGGAAGTAATTAACAACAAATGCGGCGTTTTAAATGAACCGAAAGAGAGCAAGCAACAAAAGAAAAGCATAAAAAAAAAAGAGACAGACAATGTTGTTGCTTGGCTGTGGAATATATACGGTAAGACGGAGACGGCGTGTTTCGTTCTTGGATCGGGATGGGATGGGAAAATTAGAGTGTAATGTAATGATATGGAGGGTTGAAATGCAGAAAACCAAAGCAAAGATTTGGAACCACAGTGCGCTCAAGCACCAAATCTTTCTTTCTACACCCACTGGCCCGCCACCATTTTTTCCCTCCCATTCTCCTGTGCTGTATAATATGAGTAATTTCTGGATTAATATGCTGCTCTTTTCATCGATCGGCCTTGCTTTTGCTTATACAATGTCTAAGCTATGAGTTTGGTATATGTCATGATCATGGACGCAACTAGCTTGTTGACAAGTGTTCATAACTTCCCGCGTAAACGGACCGTGTCTATTCAGCGAAAGTGTTTCGATTTGGGAGGTTTGTTGTTCGACTCGTAAAAATAACAAGTTTTAGAAGCCTGTATTTTACCCAGCTCCTTTCATTTTATTTTATTTTAGTTTTGATAACATTTTAATTGAGGATATATGCTTTAAACATTTTTTTCTTCTACAAGGGTGATATAAGTATGTTTTTATAGTTAGTTGTTGCTTGAGAATTTTAATATGGAATCTCCCAGAAACATGCCCAGTGATAGTACCATTAGACTAGACCAAACATTCTTCAAACACCGTGACTTCACAATTAGACACCATTGTATTTTTTAGAACTTAATTACATATATCTTATTGTGAACTTATTAATTACATTTTAATAAGAAGGGAATGTGTAATCTCATGATTCCATAAATAATACATGTTAGTCACTTGTAGATCATGAATTTGAAAACCCCATGTTATTTTTTTATATAGCAAAAAACCTCATGTTCCACCTAATTATAATATTCTGAGCCAATCATTCTTCTATAACCCAGAAGCTCACCAGAAAAGAATTCCACTACAGATTCTGAGCCAGCATAAACGGAGAAAGAAAAACTCTAATGCGAGAAAGATATCTCTACTGTTTACATATAATGACACTGGCGGCCATCGGTGAGTACACTGAATCACCCAAAAATGCAATGATGATCATCATTATTCATTATCATCATGACAGATAATGCACATATATAATGGAGTAGCAAGCTATCTAGTCTAGCTAACTAGGCAGCCAGGCAAGCAAGCATATGATCATGAAATATATAATAATTCAATTATCGACCACATTAATTTTTTTATATGGTATCATATCATATCATGATGATGATGATGATATTTGGGGGCCTTAGATGAATGAATCCATAAATGAACGGAGAAGAAGTAAAGGGAAAATCCGAAACGGAATCAGCACCACCAATTTCTCCGCGACTTTCCCCAACCACTACTATTCCCAAAGATTTCCTCACCAAATAATTTTCTCCATAGAATAAATCATTCATAATATTAATAATAATAATAATCAGTCGAGTCGAGTCGTCCGTTTTCAATAATAATTTAATTTAATTAACAATATACATCTTAGCAAGCTAATTAGAACGACGGCAGTACCTTCGCCTCAAACATTCTGATGATGTAGAATAAACTCCGTCGCGGCGGCGGCCGGCCCCGATCCCGTCGCCGTGAAGCTCGCTTTCTGCTGATTATTACTCCCGTCGTAAGTACCCATACCAACATTGTTGTTGTTGTTCCCTATCTCACGGTCTGGATTGCGGACGTCATCAATGGCGGCAGGCTGGGCAACCCTATCTCCCCAATCCCCGCTGCCCATCGTCGTCGTCGTCCCGATCTGATGATCGTTGCCGATCATCGACGATTGGGGCTTGAGCGAGTGGTGGAGATCATTGGAGTGAAGCAGCGACTGAAGCGACAGCATCTGGTTCATCATCATGTTCTGCGCCGATGGTCCCAGCTGGAAATTCCCCGCCGCGGCGACGGCGGAGGGGAGATCGGTGTTGTTGGTGGTATGGGATGGATGGGAGGAGGCGAATGATGACGATGATGGGAGGTGATTGTGAAGCTTGTGGGGCGCGGGGCGGAGCGGGTAGATCATGGAGTCGAACCCGGAGCGGAGAGCGGAGGAGGAGGAGGAGGAGCCGAAGAGGTCGAGGCGGGAGTAAGGGGAGGCGGCGGAGAAAGGCGGGGCGGGGATGCCGGTGAACTCCTGCACCATGGCGCGGAAGTTGGAGGTGTCCGTGGTGAGGACGGTGGTGGGCGCCCGCCTCGACGCCCGGGTCCTCTTCTTCGGGTTCCGGGTCGACCCGTGGGTGGTGGTGGTGGTAGTAGTACTAGTACTGCTTTGATGATCATTATTGTTATTAGTGGCCGCAGCAGGAGGAGGAGGATTGGCGTTTCTTAACCCGGTTGTTGCGTGCGGGAGTGAAGAAGCAGAAGGTGATGATGGTTGTTGAGCAAGCATGGTGTGGTCAGATCTGAGGAATTGATGGTGGTGTTGGTGGTGGTGGGAGGAAGAGGGGACCATGTCGAGGTTGAGGAATGATGGGTTTTCCGGCGGCGACGGAGAAGATTGATGTTGTTGTTGCTGATGTTGTTGTTGGTGGTGGTGGTGGTGATTGGGGAAGGGATGGAAGAAGTTTTGAGATGGGTCGAATAGAGATGTTTGGTGGTGGGAGAAGAGAAGGGGATTTGGGTTTTGTTGATTTGAAGAGAACGGATTGAGGAAATTTAGTGATGCCTGCTGCTGCTGATGATGTTGTTGTTGTTGTTGGTGTTCTAGTTGCAGCGACGACGACGGCGGCGGCGGAGGAGGAGGTCTTGGTCTTGAATCGTACTCTTCCTCGTCTCCGCCGCTGGCGGAGGATTGCAAGCTGCTGTTGCCAGATGAATCCATTGTTCCCAGCTCTGTAAAAAAAGAGGAGAGTGATACACAGAGAAGATGTGATTTTATTGTTAAAAAGAAGAAAAAGAGGAAGGGGAGAGACAGCCCACGAAGCTAAGAAGAGGTGGAATTGAGTAGATTACCAGAGGATGGGAATCGAAGACCGCGACCGGCCACTTGCTTTTCTTCTTTTTTCTTTCTCCCACTTTGCTTGCTTCCTTTCCAATTGCCTCTATTCTATTCTGTGCTGGTCTTTTTTTGGATGGATGAGGTGATCAGCTTTTTAGACTAGAAAGAAGGGGGAAAAAGCTGCTTCCCATATCCATCAGAAAATATATGGTTTCAGTCCTCCACTTCTCTATGATCTGCTACTGCAAGTCCCTCTGCTCTCTCGGCTACACAAATATAGCGGAATGGGTAAAGCTACCTAGAGCTACACCTAGCCATAGCACTTAGCAGCCATTATTGTGTACGAACCCAAGCAAGCAGAGCAGAAGAACTGGGTTTGATATAGCTTTTTGTGGCTCTACTCTACGGAAGAGCAGGAAAAGAAATGGAAGCAGCAGAAAGGAGGGTATGGGATGGGGAAATAAAGATCTCATGAAAAAGATGGCTTCTTTTAGCTTCCAACCCTTTTTCACTACTTACCCATCCCTTTTCTCCTGTTCTCCATCTCTTTTGCCTCGTTGGTTTTTGCAGGGAAGGGAAGGGATTAGGGTTTTGGAGCAGAGAAAGGGCAAAAAGGACGAGAAGAAAGAAAGAAAGAGAGAGAGAGAGGGAGCAGAGGGGGGATATTAAAATTAATTAATATTATTAACTCTATATATTTTGTTTGGTTTGGTGGTTCGCATTTTGGGGTGCTATTCCAACGAAAAGCTAAGCTACCCAGAGAGAGAGAGAGAGAGAGGAAAAAGAAGAAGAAGAAGAGGGGGGATGAACAACTCCCAACGACAACAGATGTTGGCACTAAGAAGAAGATCCAGAGAGGGCAGGGACAGTGGTGGTGTGGGAGACGATATGATGATGATGGTGATGATATCTTCGCTCTATGAAATTTGAGTACTAGTACCAGCAGTAAGTAATACTATGCAGTGGGACCCCATGAGAGTGAAATGTAGAGAGAGATGGAGATTAGATAGATAGATGGACAGAAAAATGGGGGAGATAGAGAGAGAAAGTTTGGTGTTGCTGGTGGCTGCCAATGGGTCACTCAACTCGATAGGAGAGAGAGAGAGGGAAAAAAAATAATAAAATGAGGGGATGCTTCATTTGGCTTCACACCACTTTTACTAAGATCTAATATTATGAGCACACAATAAAAATAAACACCTAACCAAAACATGGTTAAATCCTAAAATATAAGTAATGTCATATTTGGTCACTGAAATTACAAAATTATTTATATTAAGTTTTTTTTACAGTAAGACAATGATTTCCATTACTTGTGGCACAAGCCAAGGATTACAACGGTGGTGCAATAACATCCAAAATATTGATCCATTCAGGGGGAAGCTGATTCCTAACACAGGATCTAGCAACCCAGTCAGCTTTGGTGTTAAGCTTCCTGCTGAGAAACTCGATTCGGATCCGTGGGTTAGCTCCACACAACTGTTTGATCAAACCAATCCAAGCTGCCGCACGCCAAGGTCATTCCTTCGAGTGGTCTTTAGTTGCTTTGACAAGATCAAAACAGTCAGATCTGATCAGACAAGTCCCTCCGAGGGAGTCTGCCAACCGAGTTCCCTCAAGAAGGGCCTTTGCTTCTGCCTCAAGTGGAGAAAAGCACTGTAGGATCTCAGCCTTCCCGTTGCACACTTGCCCATGGCGATTTGTCACAACAACGCCATATGCCGCCTCCTGGGAATCGTGTAAGAACGATCCGTTACAGTGTATCTCAAAGTCATGAGTACTTGGCGGTGGAGAAGGGAGCTCCGGTGATGGAATAGGCTGCGATGGAGGAGGAGTGGATCTCTTTTTCAAAGGACACACACTCCACTGGTGAAAGCTTCTTTGGGCATTTGCAACAGTCGTCGGAGGCCACATAACAAGGTTCTTGAAAAGAAATTCGTTCCTTGTTTTCCAAGTATGCCACAGAAGAAAAATGATCTTTTGGATTGAGTGGGGCGGGTACCTTTGACCAATGACGAAGATCCAGTGAAGGATTTCGATGGACTGCGGAGGAACGATCAGAGAGGGCCATTCGGCTCTCCAGCCTTCCGCTGCATGTGGGCACTCAAACAAACAGTGGTGGATGGACTCGACTGGCGCTGCGCACAGCGAGCACTCCTTTTACTGAGAGCAACGTCGGGAGTGAAGATTGTCCTTAGTAGCCAAGGCTCCTCTGCAGCATCTCCAAAGAAAAAATTTCATCTTTGGAGGGATAGACAAATTCCACAGCCATTTCCACACATCCTTGTTCTGATTAATGACTGATTGGGGCGCTCGTTGTGCCAGTCTGGAATGATTGTGGAAACAATGAAAAGCAGATTTGACGGTGAAGGTGCCCTTATCAGTAAACCTCCAGGCCCAAAAGTCTTCCATTGAGGCAGGTCCAATCGGCGTGCTTGTGATCTGCTGCAAAGCTTGTGTCGGAAGGACCTCTCCAAGCAAGTCAAACTTCCATGTTCTGTTAACCTCATCAATCCACCCATCGACCGATCCCGGGAAGGAGGATCTATGCTGTAGTAGCGGTCCTGGCCGATCAAATAACCAGAGGTCTTGGAAGGCTTTTGTTGTTCTTCCGTTCCCAATGACTCGAATAAGACCTTGTTCCATTAAGCCTTTTGCTTCCCAAATGCTGGACCAGATCCACGATGCTTTCCCACCTTTCTTTGCCGACAGGAAATCTGACTTGGGAAAATAAAGACCTTTGAGCAACTTGACCCAGATGGTGTTAGGATTATGGAGAATCCTCCAACATTGTTTGGCTAGAAGGGCCAAGTTAAACTCATGGAATGGTCTGAATCCGAGGCCTCCCTCTTCCTTAGGGGCATAAAGAACCCTCCGTCTCTCCAATGGATGGTCTTCTTGTGAGCCGAACCTCCCCAGAAGAATCTCCTAAGCATCGAGTCCATTTTCCTCGTTGAAGACCTGGGAAGCAAGAACATGCACATAATGTATGAGGGAAGGGCTTGGAAAACTGCTTTCAGAAGCGTTTCCTTTCCTCCTGGCGAGAGCAAAAGACTTTTCCATGATTCGCTTTTGTTTTCCAAACGTTGTATGAGGAAGCTAAAAGTTTCAGCCTTCGATCTTCCCCACTCAGTTGGCACTCCCAGGTACTTGGAGTGGCCACAGGAATCAGAAAACCCAATGTTTCTGATGATAATTTCTTTTTTCCTCAGGTCTCACATTACTGCTGAAGAAAGTAGATGACTTTTCCTTGTTCACTTCCTGTCCTGTGATTGCCCCGTACTCTTGTAGAATCTTCAAAATACTGACCGCTTCTGCTGTAGATGCTTCCCCAAAGATCACTGTGTCATCCGTGAAGAGGCAGTGAGTGAGGTTGGGGCGGTTTCGATTAAGCTGAAGTCCTCGGATGGCATGACTTTTTGCCGCTTTCTCAATCAGGAAGGAAAGGGCGTTTGACATCAGGATGAAGAGGAGAGGCGAGAGTGGGTCTCCTTGGCGCAATCCTCGAGATGGGAGGAACAGAGACGAAGGTTCCCCATTAATCAGTAGCTGAAACCGAACAGTACTGATGCACGTGTTGACCCAACCACACCACTCCTCATTGAAGCCATATGCTCGTAGAAGCTCGATAAGGAACTCCCATTCAACCAGATCGTATGCTTTCTTCATGTCAAGTTTCATCATCATGTCCTTCCGAGTCCCTGTTTTGTGCTTCTTGAAGTGATTGAGCACTTCATGTACAATGATGATGTTATCTTGGATCTGACGGCCTCCAGTGAAGGCAGATTGCAGTTCATTAACCAGATCAGGGAGGAATGGCTGGAGTCTGTTGGTTAGAATTTTTGTAATGATCTTATACCTGAAGTTGCAGCAGCTGATAGGTCTGTATTGCCCGATCAACTCTGGTTTCGCGATTTTTGGGATGAGTGTGATGAAGGTGTCATTCTACTCTTCTGGCAGAGTGTTTGAAATGAAGAAACCACGTATCTCTTCACAAAGCACCTCGCCAAGGATGTTCCAATACTTCCGGAAAAAGAACCCTGGAAAGCCATCTGGACCTGGTGCTTTATTGGCCCCCAGTTGGAACACTGCCTTCCTAATTTCTTCATTTAAAATTGGTGTGGTGAGCACATTGTTGAGCTCGTCAGTGACCATTTGGGGAAATCCATTGAGAATAGCGCGGTCGAAGGTGCCTCCTCGACTTGTGAACAGCTTTCGGTAGAAAGAATTGATATGGTCATCTACCTCCTTTGTGTCATCAATCCAAACTCCTTGATCATTCTTCAGTTTATTGATCCGATTAAAGTTTTTTCTTTTGATAGTGCTGGCATGAAAGAACCCCGTATTCTGGTCCCCTTCTTGCAGCCATGAATTTCTGGACCTTTGTACCCAGAATTCCTCTTCCTCATTTGACAGCTTCTGCAGTTCCTGGTTAAGAGAGTCCTCTTCTATTTTCATTTGACTAGTTCTGATTGGCCCTTGTAGCTGTTGTAGCCTTTTCTTGATATTGTTTTCTCTTTGACAGTTTTGGATTCTTTCATTCCTAGCCCAAGTAGAAATTTTGTCCCTACAGTTTCTGATGATGCAGTGGACTCTCTCCCCTGAATTCCAATAGTTGCTGACAATCTCACCACAAGTCTCGCTTTCCTTCCATCTTTTGTCGAATCTGAAAGGGGTGTTGATCTTCCTTGGTTTGGGATTCAGATCAATCCTAATTGGGCAATGGTTTGATTCGACGAACTCCTCATGGAAAACCACTGCCGACTCAAACTCTAGTCTCCAGGTAGGGGAGCAGAGTTCGCGGTCCAGCCTTTCTCTGATCAGCCTGTCATCTTGTTGTTTGTTGGTCCAGGTGAAGGGCTGTCCGGAAATCCAAGGTCAATGAGGCCATTTTGCTCAATGAAGTACTTGAAAGGGGTGACATTTTCATTCCTGATGGGGCATCGCCCCTGTTTTTCCGACGGAAACAAAACCACATTGAAATCACCAACAAGAAGCCACTTCTCATCCTGGCGCTCTCTTAGGGACGTAAGTCGTTCCCATAGAGTCCGTCTCTCTACCACCGTGGTAGGAGCGTGGATGAAAGTGCAAAAGAAACTCACCACTTCCTTAATCACACGAACGTCCATAAAGGACTTACAAGAATCTAAAACACACACATCAACATCATCCTTCCACCAAAGCGCCAACCCGCTGTCGTCAACTGCTGGGCTGACATAATTCGAATGGTCAAACTTCAATGATCTCCTTTTGTCTTCAAGAAAGGATTCATCCTTTTTTGTTTCCATCAAGAACACCATTGAAGGGCCGAATTTTCGACAAAACCTGCCGCAGAAGCTCCTTGTAAGTGGCTGGCCATACCCCCTACAATTCCAACTGATTATCCTCATTCTTGGAGAGGCGTCCTAAGGCTTGCCGCCGCTTCCTTCGGTGTTGTTGACTCTCCTTATCCTGACTGTTCTCCATCCGCGTTAATATCAGCGATGCTTCTTTTCCTGATAACGTGCCTCCTCCTCTGATAAGTTTTGCTTCGTTCACCTGGTGAAAAAGACAGAGACTCAATGGGGATATTAGTGGGAGTGCCTTGGAGAGGGAGGGAAAAAGTGGGTGTGTCCCTCTTTTCCGGTTTCCATTTCTTTTCTGGTCTGGGCCTTATTTCTTCCGCTGTTTGAACCAAAAAAGTTTCAGATGTTGCGATGGGGCTTAGTATCCTTTGGTCGGTATGGGCTGTCTGCTGTACTTCATCGAATTGGGCATGGGAAACAGAATCTTGAAAGTACACCGGGCTTGCAAGAGTGAGCATCTGGCCCATTTCGAGCAGGCCTGCCTGTTTGCTTCTTGTCTCCTCTCCTCCAGTTAGGTCTAGGCTCCTCTGCATCGCAATAGTCGCCGCCTCCATCTCCTTTTTCATATAGCCAGTCTGCAGGGTCAGAGTGGGGCTTCTTACCACTCCTCCCTGTATCCACTCTTGACTCCTAATCGTGGTCGTTGCTTCATTCTCCAGAGCTGCAAACCCAGGTGGGCAGGACGATGATCCCTGAACAGTGCGCCCCACCATCGACATCAACGATGATCCTCCAGTTGATTCTCTCAGGCGGTGGGCCCTAGTGTCAGCCCTGTCTCGCTGTCTCTCTCCAGCTTGTTTCTCTATGAAGGATGCCGGCGGCGTGTTGGCCGGAGAGTCATGCCCTGCCTTCAGAGCTGCTGTGTAAACTTCGGATGGGTCAGTGTTCAACCCTTTTCTGTGGCAGTCCTCTCTTTGTAGGCAGTTATGGATGAGGTGGCCAAGCTTTCCACAGAAATAGCATAGGTCCATGATCCTCTCATATTTGAAACTCACCCAGATGGATCTTTCTCCCAGTGGGTATTCGAAGCCGATCGGAATTGGTTTGTCCAGCTCCACTTCTACCTTCACCCTTATGAATTTAAGGCACCCTCGGAAATCAAAGTTAGACTGATCAATCCCAGAGTAGTATGGGAATATGAACTCCGCCACTGCTCGAATAGATTCTTCATCTTTGAGTGATTGGGGCAGGTCGTGCATCTGTACCCATAGAGTGACCGTTTGGATATCTGTATCCTCAGCTTTCTGCTCTCCGTCCCATTTCTTTAAAGCGATCAGGGTGTTACCCAGATTCCATGGTCGAGCTTCATAGACTGCATCCCTTTGTCTCTCGGTTTGGAAAGAATAGACGAATAGGTTGTCTGATTCTTTTGTGGCCTGTATCTCGCCATAGGCCCTCCAATTGCTTTCTGCTGTATTCTTTGCCTTCTGGATGTTGATGTTGGCATCCGTGATCCATTTGCCCAGAAGCATGGCCATTCCACTCCCTCTGACCCCTGTAACTGTCGGCCTAACGTTGAGGACCAAATGGCTCCTTTCCCCTCTCAGATTCTGGGCAGTAGGTTCCATTGTTAGTTGTGGGTGTGGTGGTAAGGAATTTTCTTTGGTATTGGGGTCTTCTCTATTTGAGATGAAGTAGTAGCTCATTCGTTTTGTGCTGTTGGTTTGCATGGGGTTGGAATCCTCCTGGACGTTGGTGTTTAAATAGACCTGCTTCTCCCTCTGATATCGAAACTCTCCATTGGGGCTGCCATTAAATGTTGTGCTCATTGAATGAAGGGGTTGTCTAACTGACTCCGCCATTGGACTCTTCCACTCCTTGCCTCTTACTTCCCATTTAAGCCCTCTGCTCTTCTTTGCATTTATATCTTGAGTCAGCTTCTGCTTATTGGTAGTTACTAGACTTGCGTAAGATCTCTGGCTTCTAAGGCCTCATCTGGTGGCTTTAGTTTTCCTTCCTTTTGCTTGTACTTCGATGTTGCTGCTCTGTCTGCCTCTATAGCTCTTAGTGGTTCTGATGATTGTTCCTTTCTTAATGGCGAAGATCTTCTTGTTGAGCCAGTGAGCAAGATCTTCCCTGATTCTATCTTTCTTCTGACGTTCATAACTTCTCCTTCTTCCCAATACTGCTTGAGCATAAGTGGAACCCCTGGCCACTTCCTTAATTACTACTCCTTTGGGTTGAGTTGCCTGCGTGATCTCAGGTGGCTTAGGGGGCGGTGGTATTGACTTCCTCTGAGACGTCAGCTCTTTAATATCCCTCCTTAGGTCTGCTCCTACTTTTGGCCTGGGTTCATCTTCAATGTGCTGTTTTCCTTCATTAACTGCCCTGATGATCTTCCTATTTTTTTTGCCAGATTTGGTTGCTGATTGACAGCTCTGGACTCTGAGTGCTCCGTTTCCGGCAGCTGGAGAAGAAGAGGAGATGAGAGTGTTGTAGATGAGAGTGTTGTTGATGTTCATCGATGCAGGTGGTTTTTCCTCAAAGAGATGAGTCTGAGACAAAGACTAGTTGTCCCTCTTTTCCCCCTCATTGACCTATTAACTTGATTGTCCATATATATTTTTAGTTACTAGAAAAAAATAAAATTAATTTTGGTCACTCGAATTATTAAAACAAGTCACATTTAGTCACTCTCCCGTTAACCACCGTCCATGTCCGATCACTCTAATTACTTTTTTTTTTTATGAATGTCACTCGAATCCGTGGCAGACCTATTAAAGGGCAGGGTGTGTCGTCTGACACACCCTCGCCTGGAAATTTTGTGAAGTACCTATAATTTTTGGTACAATTATTTTTTTAATTCGGGACTTCCGACACACCTTAAATAATTGTGAGCGACACACCTTCATTATACGAGAATGATTTTTTTTGTTATAAAGTTATTTATCTTAATTAATAATTAGTAATACACAATAATAAGTAAATTCAAATAAGTATGCTTGTTTTAGAGTAACCCACACCACAACCTAGGGATGGCAATATGGCGGGTTTGTCTAAACCAACCTCATCCCCATTTCCAAATATTCAAACTCATACTCGTCTCATACGCATGCAGTGGAAGGTCTTACAAACTCATCCACATACCCGCGATTTTCGGATACCCATAGGTAATATCACCCCAACAACTACTCACCATTAATAAAAGAATATGGTGACAAATATGGATACTACCCACCCAAAATTATGGAACTAATACATAAGAGGATGAAATTACGGTTTGGTTGTCATCAATTACATTTTAACTCTTTATTTTTTCTTTTAATTACCCTTCATTCGATTGACAAGTTACAATACACTCCTTATATTTTATGTATATAACATAATATCCTTGGTGGGCGGGTTTGGGTATGGGTATGGGGCGGGAGAGTCAAAAACCATACCCGCCCCATACCCAGTCAACGCAAGGATTCCCGCGTTGATTGGGTCGGAGGAGGTCGGGTACCCGCGACCATGTGTTTGGTTGTCATTCCTACCACAACCCAACAATGGAAAAAATAAACATAACCCCATCCTTTTGAAACTCACCGTTTCCACCCCTTGACCCTTCCTTTATTGAAAATAAAAAAACTCACCCTTACCCCGTTTTAGTTTCTAATTACTGAGAGCCACTACCACATCTCTCTTTTCTTTTACCCTTTAGTTTTACTTGCTTTTGGAAGTTGGTGTTGACTTTACATGTTGCAATTGAAAGTTGCGAAAGATTTCAGCTATGAAGATAATCAAGAATGAACTTTGAAATCGGTTGAGTGACCAATTTATGAATCATTGTTTAGTTGTGTATATGGAAAAGGATTTGCTTCGCAACATAAGCAATGAATGTATTTACAGACATTTCTAGTAAACATGAACTTTATGAATTAATTTATAGTAATTTTCTATTTAATTTCTATTGATTTTTTAATAATTATATTATTTTGTCGACGACACACCTCTCCGGCAATTTTGGGTCCGCCACTGACTCGAATTACTAAAACATGTCACATTTAGCCTCCGTCCAAACGGAGTTGGACGGTAACTAACAAGAGAATGACTAAATATAACATGTTTAAGTAATTCGAGTGACCAAAATTGATATTAAGTTTTTTAGTGACTAAACATAACGTGATTTAGTAATTTCAGTGACCAAATGTGGCATTTACCCTAAAGCTATTACTTGAATAAATCAGTTCGTCTAAATTAATCTTTGAACCAATGCAACTTAGTTAATCAAGTATATTCTATCTTCGATTGTACTACGAACTAATATGAGTTTATATCTTGATATCATATGCACGTCCAAATTCATACTCCAGTCCTGATAACGTTTAAATTAGCCATTTTTATATGTCCATTCTTCAAAGTTATCATCGTGAATTTCATTTGTTTGTGTCCAAATTCATATTCATTTAGGGGTCTTTTGGAGAATATGAGTTTAAATCTATAGATTGTCAACAATCTAAAGATTCTAACTCTTCGGATTGTTGAAAATAGATTTTAAAATGTGTATTGTTTGGTAAGTGTGATTGTTAACATTCAATGAAAATAAAAAAAATTTATTTTTATATTAAATAACGTGTTTATTCTTAATAAAAAATTAGAGTGGTTCGAGAAATATTCAAAACTTTGTTGATAAATATATTTAATATGATAAATAAATAAAAAAGAGAAAAGGTAGGAGAAAAAAATCTCACGAATCAAGATATGGAATCTCTCTGATTATGGGAGATTTGATATCCGTAGATTTTAGAGATTTGAAATCTCTAAAGCTCAAATCCACAATACAAAAAGCAACAAAAAAACATAACTTTTTACAAAATCTACGGATTCAATGATTCCACGCCCTAAATCCCGTTCTCCAAACGACCCCTTAGTCTAGTTTTTTTTACAGACGAGATAACCAAAAATCCTCTCTTTCTTGTTTTCAAATTCTCTCTGCCCTCTCTCTGGCTTTTCAGCTTCCTCCCGTTAGGGCTGCCGCCGACACATCTTGGTGATCGGCGGTAGCCCAAAAAATAATTTATTTCTCGTTTTTCTGTTGCTTTCCTGCTTTTCATCGCCTTCCTCTTCGGTTTTCCGTTGTCTTTCCTGGCGTTTCCCCTTCCCCTAAGTGGGTATTTCCTCATCCCTCTCAATAGAGGAGGTTTTGCCATGTTTCTGCTCCAGATCTTCTAGATCTGGTTTGGCTCTGCTCTATTCTGGGTTCGGAGGATGCAACTTGGGTTTCTATCCAATTTTGATGCGTTCGTCTTCTAGGGTGATTGCATTTACCGATTCCCCATCCGCCTTCGTTCCTCGGTGCGTCGATTGGCTGTTGTAGAGTAGGAGTCTCCTCTGGTTGCTGAGGCGATTGCACCATTGTTGTCGTAGTTTTGAGATTCATCTAAGGTTGATTTTGTTTCTTTGCTTGTAGGGTGTTGGGGTTGTTGTTGGGGCTGCTGATTTGGGGTTCTGTTTTTGGGATTGTTTGGGTTGTCTCTTTTGGCGTTTGTTTTGACAGGACATTTGTTCTGGTCGGTTCTGCTCTTCTCTCCTTTTCTTTGTTTGTGGCTGTTGTCAACCCTCAGGTGAATCTCTTCACTGTTGTTTCATAGTTCTCTTTGCTCCGATCCCGGTTGCTGTTTTCAGCTCTGAGCAGTCTGAATCTCAATCCTGTCCACCGCCGCGCAATCCCTCATAGGCGATTCACTGTGATGGGTGTATTTGAACTACCCCCAGAAGGCGGCATATGGTGTTGCTTTGCTCAATAACCATGGTCAAGGCTGGGTTTGGGCGAGCTGAAGCTCTACTGTATCTCACTCCTTTTGATACGATTACATTGACTGCTTGATCCTCTGTTTCGGCTCTTGAAAGGGTCCCTGTCTTTCTGTTCATGTTGTATCGCGTTCTGTTTGCTTTTGGGCTTTTTCTCTTCATTTTTGGTGTAACTGGTTGTTTGGGTTTTCTTTCTTGTAGTTGATTTTCAAGGGTGTATCCGTTTCTTTTGTAACTGAGTTTCTTTCGGAGTGAACTATAAGTAACCTCTTTGTAAAAAAAAAGTCTAGGTTTTATTCTAGTACGATATGACATTTAGATGATGTTTCCGAGGGTTTGTGCAAAACCGAGGCCAAATGAGTTGATGACTGTAGTATGTCGCAAAAAAGTAATTATATGTTAGAGAGTGGTATAAGATCCAGCATAACCTTCTCCCAACAACTCGAGTTATTGGGACCAACTGGTTTATGACATGGTATCAGAGCCTAGAACCGAAAGGTCATATGTTCGAATCTCCACGACCCCCAATATTAACCATTATCTTTCAAGCACATGGTATGGTGGGCCTGTGCAAACTTCAAGCCCATGGGTTGGCTTTCGTTTGAGGGGGCGTGTTAGAGAGTGGTATAAGATCCAGCATAACTGTCTCCCAACAACTCGAGTTATTGGGACCAACTGGTTTATGACATTATGAACCTAACCAACTCTAGCAATGTATGTATTTGGATTGTAGATGGGAGCTGGACCGTGCTTGGGCCGGCACGAGCACGCTTCGGGCCCATTTATTTTGTGTCGTGCTTGGCACGACCCATCAGTTTTCGTGTCGTGCCATGCAAGCCCATTTGTTAACTTTGCTAGGCCCGACCCAGGCCCGAGCACGGTTCGAAACGTGTCGTGCATATTCGTGCTCGTACCATTCTCGTATTCGTGTTTAATGAAAAGGAAGAAAACAAAAGAGAGAATGAAAAAGAAGGTGAAAATTGGAAGGAGAAAGATAGTATTAACAGATAATGTTTGAGAAAAGTAACAAATAAGGGAGAAAAGAAAAATGGAAGTATAGCGAGTGTGATTTGACTTTGTTTAATTTTTCGTCCATTTTTACTTATGATAGTAATTACGTATATATCTTTATGACACTTCTAACAACAACAAATAATTATTTTTATACTTGTAATTTATAATATTTGAACCTATAGTTCTTTTTATATTTATTTTCTATCAAATAAATATTATTTCTGTGTCATGTCCGTTCTTATACTCAATAAAGTCTCGAAAATATTAGGCCCGACACAACCCACTTATAAACCGTGCCGTGCCCGTGCTCATGAAGTTTAGGCCCGACACGACCAATAAATTATTCGTGCTCGTGCCAGGCTGACCCATTTATTTCGTGCCCGTGCTCGTGCAGTGTCGTGCTAGCCCGTGGGTGGCACGGCCCGGTGCCCACGTACAATTTGGATCAACTAGTAGTGGTACGAAGGTTCTTCGGATGGGTTGAGGACTTGAGGTTCCCGAGTGTTGTGTGTACTATGCAGGAAAGTAAAAGCAATAGCCGAAAGAAGTTGGAAAGGCAGAGTAAAATGTATGTTGTTTGGGCTTGAAAAGAAGTACGAGAATGTAAACGAGACTTTGTTTAACGTGATTCTTCCTCACAGTGGGTGAGGCTTACGTCCACGGGAAAGAGGCGATGATCTTATTGATAATGGTGGCGCAATGCCTTACAAGTGGT